TCTTCAGAATCAACTAACATTCCTTTAAATATGTTGGGTAATTATTTATTTATTTTCTTTCTAAATGGCTTTATTTATTTATTTTCTTTTACAAAAACAATTTTATATGTTCTAGTATAAATGTTTTGTAGTATCTACTGGATTGCACTGAAAAGTGAGAGGTATTTGCTGGACTTGAGGGTTCTGTGCTGCAGTATCTGCTCTCCTGTGGCAGCCCAGCGAGGCAGTGCACTGTGCTGCCATACAAAACCCAGAATAGTGCAGCTTGTGCATCAGAAATAAAATTCCTCCTCTACAGAGAAATTATGTCTCTTTAAGAAAGATCTTTATATAATAAAGGCTTTTATTTTGGGGGAAGAAACCTGTTGGCATTACAGAGATATGTTGACTTTGGCAGAAACCTCCTGAAATCAACAGATTGTTTCTTTTACATACAGAATACTGAATAAGCCTCTAAACAATAGAAGTTTACTTGTGTAGACTTTGCCCTAATGGCATCTTCACTTAATTTTCCTGATAAAAACTTTATGGTAAATTCAGTAACCCCTCTCCTTTTTATTGAGGTTGCCAGCCTGCAAATGATTTCAGAGACAGGATCTACTCGTGGGAATACATTAGCAATATTTGATCCAGCCATGATTTGTCTTTCTTGTGTTAACTTTGAGTGGGAGGGAGTCTGCAATCAACATTTAGAACTGCTGGTTCTGTGGTACTGGTAATTCCACCTCCCCTGATTTTGAGGGGTCCAAACCCAAGTGGAAATCTGCATCACAAGTCCCTGTGGGATATAGGAAAGCACAAGCCCCAAAGCAAGTATTTTCAGGAGAGCATGGGCACTCCAGTTGGTTTCCTCCTCAGTTGCTGAGCAGCTCCCTGTTGGGTCCTCTTGTCCATAAGGCAAAGGTGCAGATGGGATGTAAGGATTTGACTTAATTTCTTCTGCTAACTGTAAAGGAAAAAAAATCTCATTATTGGAAATGAATTAATTTTGAGAAAATGTGTTAAAAGGCAGCAGCCAGAGGCAGGGCTATTAGAGAAAAGAATTCAGATAAATGAAGTTTGGTAAAATTGCTAGCAACTGGAACTGTATATTGAAATGTAATTGAAACCTATTATTAGAGGTATTGAGCATTTTTATAATTCAGAGTAGTGCTATCAGTACTGCATGCAGTTCTGTGAGCTCTTTTTCAGCAGTTAAGGACAGCAGCCTTCAGTGTGATTTTTAACTCTGTTCTGAGAGTCGTGGGTTTGATGTTCTATATCCTGCAAGCCTCTACAATGCAGGAAGGAGATGGTTTGTACAAGAACCATCTGGGGAACAGCACGACAGTGCTGGCACTCTTCCTTGGGGTTTTCTCCTCTTGCATGAAAATGTGAGGATGAAGCACATCCCATCAATCCAGCAAAGCCTGAGTGACAGAGAGAAGCACAGCTAGTCTGTGTTGCAGAGATCTCTCAGCATCTACAAAAATTGAGAAGGAGAGTTGGATTCTTTTCTCCTGCAGCTATTTCTCAGCTTCTTCCTCAGCTTCATCCTCCGACATCTGTGAAACAAGCTGGTGCCTGGGTAACTCCTGGGCAGGACAAAGGCCTTTCTCACAGCAGCCTGAGGTGCAGAAGTTCCTTAGGGCGTCCCGGAGCAAATATTTTGGTTTTGTTTTTTTTCCCTGTCAGTTGCTAAGATGGGAAATATAAAGGACAGTAACACTTGGAATTACTTGACAAGTAAGTGCTAGCACATTTGAATATGTGTGGGGGTGTTTGAGGGTTCCCAGGGTGAGGGAAGAGATGGGAATCTTGACTCCATGTTTCAGAAGGCTGATTTATTATTTTATGATATATATTATAATAAAAGAAAATGATATATTAAACTATACTAAAGAAAGAGAAAGGAGACATCAGAAAGCTAGAAAGGAATGAATAATAAAATCTTGTTACAGATTCAGAGAATCTGACACAGCTGGCTATGATTGGCCATTAATTAAAAACAAATTACATGGGACCAATCAAAGATGAAACTGTTGGTAAACCATCTCCAGACCACATTCCACAGCCATCAGATAGTTATTGTTTACATTTCTTTTCTGAGGCTTCTCAGGAGAAAAATCCTAGCGAAGGGATCTTCATAAAATATGTCAGTGACAAGTACACATACAGGAGGTACAGCTGAAGGAGGGGATGGGAAGAGTTTTGGCCCATGAGAGGCATGCCAGCCTTTCCCCCAGATGTGGATGCACACCTGGCTGCTGCACTCACACAACATACAGCTTCTAAGGGGAGCCTTTCACATCACCAGCCCTGGCACAGCATCTTCCCCTGCTAGAAATCTTTTTAAGAGAACAGAAGGGCATGGCACCTCACTCTGCTGACCTGCTAACAGGATTTACCATAAGAAGCAGCTATTTCACAGTGCTAAGTTGGTACTATCCATTATGGTGGCAAAGAAAGTGCACGAGAGCTCTCACTGAGCCCTTCTTACCTACCTGGCCCTAGCAGCACTAATAACTTTCAGTGGACATGCATGATTTTTATAGGCAATAAACATAATCCTTTTTCACCTTGATGAATTCTCTTAAGAGCCCCATGTGGTTCTTTCCCAATGTAATATGGGATATGTAAAGGATGAGCTATGTGCTTTTTTTGCCAATATTTTTTTTTATTTTTCCTTTATATCTGCTCTGCCACAAATTCTGCTTCTTTTGATGTTGTGCAGAAATGTATTACTACTCCACAAAAGTCTCTGTTTACTCACAATTTCAAACCAGAAAACATGTAGATGTGGAATTTAACTTGTACCTTCTCTGAGAATGCTGAGACTAGAGATGAGTAAATATGCTTTCAATAGCTCTGGAAAGAATTTTTTGATGCTCATAATGGTTTTTGTATACTTTGAGTTGTGTTTCTTACCAGTATTTTCAGCTTTCTGCACAGTTATACTTTCTTACAAATATTTATATGCAAAAAAAAAAAACCCCAAACTACTCTTAGACCATATTTCTCTTCTTCTCATTCAGAAATTGGCTGATTTCAAAATAGATGTATTTTAGAAGATTCCCATATGGAGTGTGTGCATTGATGGGGAGGAAGTGTGACTGTGCTTTCTCCACACCACTGCCTTGCTCCAGGGGTGCTTACAATATTCTGCTGTGATCTTGTCTGAAACACTTTAGCATTCTTCTCCTCCATAAAACAGCATGGCATGCTATGAATTATATATTTACAGTAAGGCAGATGTGTCTGTCAGTTCAGTCACGAGATACAATGATGTGGGGTTTTGCCTCTAAGTGGTTAACAACTGCAAAAGGTTCTTTTTAATGCCTAGAAATCTATTCACTTTATTTTTCTTTTTCATGTGGTGGAAAATAAATCTTAAACATTTCTTCTGTTATTTAGCACTTTAAGCCTTTTCATAGCATTTGTAATGTCTCTTTGCCAACACTCCATCTGTGATTTTAGCTTGCAGGAAACACTTTGCAAATCTGTTATTAGCTTAGATGCAGAGAGCTGCTGTTTAAATATTAATTGCAACTCCTCTCAAAAGTGCAGTCAGACCCACTCAGGCACTTGGGAAGTTCAGTGTTGAGGAGGAGGGAGTGAGCCAGGGGTAGGGGCTACTCTGAGGTGTAGCAAGGGT